GGGCGATGCAGTTCAGGTTTTGCTGGAACCGCTTTCGGCATTGCAGGGACACAAAATTTCGGTCTATCCTGTGGAATGACCTCCCATGTTGACACACTAGGCTCACCTGAGGGGCTAGGGTTTACCCGAAGCTTTCTTGCAGTAGCGACTGCACCTTTCTTCTTCTTCGGACCCTTTGATGCTGAACTTGATGCAGCACCACCGCTGCCTACAGCCATCTTTTCAGCCTCCTCCTCAACAAGCTTTTGCCTATCCTTCGGACTAAGCATTTTCCAAAAATCCGATGGGATCGACTCAGGGCGTTTTGACCCTTTGTACGTTTTCACAAGGCGTGTGCCGTCCCAATGATAACCATCCGGGATTGGAGTACCAGTTGGAGTGTACTTGATATCAGGAAAAACTGGTTCTTCAGCCGGCCTTTCATCACTGGCAAGTGCGTCAAGCACTGCCTCCGTTGACTTGTCAATTGCTGCTTCACTTTCTTCTACATGTTCCTCTGTTTGCAATTCGGATTGAAACGGAATCGGACGAGGATCAGCAATGACATTGTCGACTAGGCGGTCCGGCTTGGGCTCTTTGGCCTCTTTCAATGCACGGAGTGGGAAGACAAAACCTCCCGCGATGAGCTCAACACGTCGTGCTCGCTGCACTGTGATGCTGCCCGTTTCTGCATGGTAATCCAATGCTTCTAACTTGGCAACAAGATACTCACCCTTCCATGCAAAACCAGGTTGAATGTGGTATCCCAAAAAGATTCCATCATTCGCTGTTGGTGATGTCTTTCCAGATGTGTTGTCAACCCTTTTTGGATTGTTCCAAAACAGTATCTTTGCACCGAAAGGAATCAACTGACCTGGAAAATCTTCTTCGAATCTGAGTTTCCATGGGGCATCATCACCGTTGAGCTGTGGCGTGGCATTTACTGCCATGGAGAAATGCTGCATAGCCATTGGCCAATATTGCAATGGAAGACCTGACTGCACAAGGTTTGTGCGTGTGCCTTCAAGCATGTGCCTGATCTCCCTCTCCACAAACGACTTTGAACTGTCCACATACTCTGTTGATGTTTGATGTCTGTACCCCAACTCTGAAATTGTAGCAATAAGTTCTCGTGAATTGTCAGTGTAAACTGCCCCAACTTCATCCTTGTGAGATAAGAAGTGGTTGAAAGCATTAACACATGATTCGCTCGATTTTGTCTGGCTTGGATAGACGTGTCTGAACTGTGTGTGGATGTCCTTCATCACCAATGCCACTGTTTCGCCTTTGACGCCTTCTTCCACATTGGATTTGATTACAGTATGGTCAGCGACGATGTGATCCCCAAAACTTTTGGTTTCCAACCTTTTCTGTCCCCCTTTCTTCTTTGCGGGTGGCGCCATCATGCGCGCCTTCTGACAGATCTTGCAAAATGGATTCTTGGGGTAATGGCAAAACTGGTGAGACTTACTGCATGCCTCTTGCTCAAGGTCAGATGCCTTTCTAGACCTGACGTATTCGGTTTCGCTATCATGAGCTACTCCCTCATCCACGCCTTCTTCATCGGCACCTTCTGCTTTTGCAGCAACCATTGCAAAAAGACGTAACAGATCACAATCTTTCTTGAACTGTCCACTGTTCAAAACACGACAAGAGCTATCGATGACCGGCACACGGCCGTCTACGTTAAGCTCAATGACTCCCATGTCCGGACGAATGAAGTAAGGCCTACCATCAGCTGGCCACACAAAACTGTAACCCTGTTCCATACACCTGACCACAACCGAAAGAACAGCAGGAGTTTCCTCAAGAATGTATGGTGAAAACGGCTGATGTAGGGCATCGACTTTTACGTCGGCCACCTCATCCGCTCGTGTCGAACCGTTTGCTGTAGCAAGGCTGATCGGAGTATCGCTGATACGGCGGTTTGTCGCCTTTGCGGTCTTCAGCATACCCTCACTGATCAAATCCTGTTCACTGCCCGTGTCAACCAACCAAACACATCCATCTTTTGATGCAGGTGTAGCAACAGTGGGCAAATGAGTGTTACTGACTTTGTTCTTGGGACCGATCATTGCTCTACAGTGGTTGCATGATACTCCCCCTTCTGGGTCATTGCATCGGAATCGGCACTTGGGCTGCGTCTCACTGCCGAAGAGCTTCACAAGTTCCTGCAACTGCCGGGCCGAAACCTGAGCACGGTGAGCCACGAGTTTGTCGGGTTTTGGCACTGACTCTGAATCAGGGAACGTCTTCTCATAGATTCGGGGTTTGTGCACTACCTTCCTCTGTTCACCTGTTGCTGGGACTTTGATGTATTCCACTTTTGATGAAAACACAACGGCTCTATGGCATTGTTCTTTCATGGCCTTTGTAGCTTTTGGCAACCCTTTTCCCTTTGCTATGCATGCATACCTTTGAGTAATGCATGGCGCAGCTTTTGCACTGGCCTTCTTCTTTGGTGCAGGGCTATTGGTGCGTTTTGGATCCTTTGTGGGTGCAGCTGCAACTTCATGTTTGTAAAAACATTTGTCACCACGACGACATTTGCCCTGTTGGAAGTAAGTGCATGGGATCTTGGCCATCTCTTCCTTCGACTTTCTGTTGGGGGAACCACTTCTGCTACCACCTTTGCCCTTACCCTTTCTTTTGGGGGTACCAGATCTTGAGGAATCTTTGACATGCTTGTAGGGACAGTCTTTACCCTTTTCACATTTGCCATCCCTGAATTTGTAGCATATCTTGTCCCCTTTTCCACTCTGGCTACGGCCACGGGTTCGACCTCGGTCGCCCTTTCCTTTGCCGCGATCTTTGCCCCCCTGAGCGGGTGCAGCGGGCTGAGGCTTTTCGGTCTGCTTGTTCTTTTCAACGATTCTGTTTCTGTTTGAACGGAGTCTTTCTCTATCCAAAAGATCACGAATGTTTCTCAACAAGAATGCATAAGACTTTTGTTCTGACTTTTCAGGAGCTCTGTCGAATGCTTCAATGTCATACTTCATCAATTGACATTTTCGGATTTGTCTGAGTAAGATGTCTCTGAGAACCAAATCATCTGGTGGGGTTTCCATGCCGGCAATTGTGGCGTCCCATCGGTTCAAAAACCTTCTAAGGTCCTCCACAGATTCTCCAGTGCGAACGACTCCAAGTAGGTCCTCGACGCGGTAGAGACTGCCAGCTTCCTCAGACGTCCTGAAGTAATCTTCAGACATCAAAAGGACTCTCCTACCTCTGACTTGGATCCCTTTCTTTGACTTCTCATCTTTGAAGTTATGGATCTTTGTCGCTAAATCACCTTTGGCTGAGCGAGTTAACGCTGCCGACAATTTGGTGTCAAGTGTGATAAACTTCCCAGGATCCTGCAGCTTTTCCTCCAACTTTTCCCTAGGGGTTTTGTTGTCAAAGACTTCATTGAGCCAAAGCCAAGCCTCATCGGGTTTGTCGGAGCACGATTTCACTTCATCCCTGACGTGATTACGCCAGTGACGATAAGCTTCTGGGGCAGGCATGTCGTTCAATTTGATAGTCTCTGCCTCTTTTGTTCGGGGCTTTTCACCATCTGAATCCTTTGAAGTCAGTCTAGTGATGAGATCTAGCAATTGTTGACCTGAAAGACCTAAGCCTGCTTCAGCTGCTTTCTTGCCAGGGTCGCTTGCTATAACTGTAGGACTGGGCACACTATGATCTTGGTTTGCATCATCATCATTTTGTCTTTGAACTGGCAATGGTGGAAGTTTTGGAGGGGCTGCTGATCCGGCAGGGGTTGTTGAGAACAGGTTGCTCAACCTTTCCTTAGCGTCCATGGCTAAGCTACTCATACCAGTGTTTGGCATGGGTTCTGCTCCAGCCTTGGTACCGACCGCTGATTTTGGGGCCATGTACAAATCGACATTATTACCGCCTTGTCCATCATCAACTTCGACGGCTCTGTCGACACTGATTTCCGGGGCGCTGTACTTGTTGAGCTTCTCCATCAAATCCTCGACTTGTCCCTGCAATTGGAAATTGAGTTCAGCAGCTTGGTTTTCCTGCCTACTGCATTCCTCTCTAATCTCCTGAATTACCGCTTGTTCCTCCTTCTTGAAACCTTCCATGCCATTCTTTGCATACTCCACTGTTTCGTCCACGATTCGTTTACAGTCTGCCTCGAGGCTACTTCTGAGTTCAGAAAACCTTTGTTCGTACTGGGCTGTAACATGGGCTACCTTTTGGTTGGCTCTTTGTTCAGCTTCCAGTGCGACTGCATTCGCAGCATTCTTCAGCTTTGCATTTGCATCGCTAAGTTCCTGTCTCAGTCTTGCTACCTCATGCTCAGTTGCCGTTTGGGACATTGAATACTCTGACACTAGGTGTTCATGTCTGCGATCAGCTTCTGCACGTTGATGGGCGATTTCGCTAAGGCAAACTCCCTCAAACTCTTGGTACAGTTGCTGGACCTTTTGCTCCATGAGATGTGTGTGCCTCTCCTCCGCCTCTTGCCTGAAAGCATCAATGTTACCTTCGTTGATGTAGGTAAGATTGTTTTGCACGAACTGGAAATATGCTTGCACGGGCTGTGTGAAGAAACCTTCATCCACTGACATGGGCGTGGGGTTTGTCCCAGCCGGCAAGCTTTGTTGTGAACCAGTTGTTGCAACCGTTGCTCCAGTCGAGGGGACAAGGGCGCCTCCACCTGAGGTGTCACCAGTTGTCCTTTCCATGGCTTTACGAGACTACGGCTGATAACCTGTATTTACAGGTTTCAGCTGGGGTAATTCCTATTACACCCAAATAGACTGATAAACCTAAAATCCGTTAAGCTAGCAGCGCAAAACCCTTTTTGATCTGAGCCGCAATGCTAGTCAGCATATTACTATAGTACAGCTATGTTTTACATGGGATGCAAATACAGAAACAAAATCGCTGAACATCATTCTGGCTCCAATTCGTGGGATCAATCATATCTTTCGCCATCTTTTCCCCATCTGTTTGCCATATTTACCCATTGTTTTCTCATTCGAAACTGGGTATCAAATCCCTGATAGCTACCAGCCATGGGGTAAGCTCTCCTCCAAGGTCATCGGACGTGGACTGCAGGTTCGCAACGGTGCAGTGGTCGTGGTGGTGGTGCCTGCAGGATGCTATGGCTGAACAGTTCAAAAGACAGCCATACTTAGGTTTTTTTCATAGTCAGTAGGAGTATATATATATATATATGTTTTTTTTAAGACTCCCAGTTTTTTGTGAATACTGATTCAAGACTATGATTTTATATGATTTTATAATCATAAATCCCAGAAATTGTCCGAAAAAAACCACCGGTTTTTTCCGACGGCGCCTTCCACGTGCACGTGCTCAGGGGCGCAGCGGCTCAGGTCCGACGTTACGGTGTAGTTCAGGAAGAGGTCGTTGAACAACACGCAGCCTTAGGGTTTATTTAGTGGTGGTGTAATGGGTTTTAATGGGGGTTATTTGGGATTCAATGGGATTTAATGGGATTTAATGAGGGTTAAGGGGATTCAATGGGGTCAATTGGGATTCAATGGGATTTAATGGGGTTTCACATGGTGCCCCTAATGTAGTTGAGGAAGCTCCGGGGGTCCAAAGCCATCAGCCCGTCATGATTGGAGGAAACAAAGGGTTGCATCGTCAACCATTTGATTCCCTCCAGGTACCATAAATACATATACCCTCTGGTTATTTAATGGAGTGTTTAATAAGTTTAATAACCATCAGAAATGGTGGTTTCGTATAGTTTAACCATGACAAATGAGGGTTTACCCTCTGGTTATTTAACATAGCTATGGAAAGTGACCCATTTATAGATGATGTACCTAATAAAAGTGATGATTTCCATGGCTATGTTAAATAACCAAAGGGTAAATACCCACAAACTCCTACAGACCCAGTGAAATCTCCAAAGAGAATCATCCAATCAAACCATCAAGAGATCAAATCAGCATGGCATTAAAAGCAAAACACACATAATCTCTCAGACATCAGGCAAAAACGATCGTCGTCGTCGTCGTCGTCATCATCATCATCATCGTCATCATCATCATCGACATCATCAACATCACCCATCATCAAATTGAAACAAAACCACGAAAAAAAGTTCACGTCAAATTCTGGGAAAAAAGACAACATCATCACCCCCAACTCCCACAAGGTGGTGCCCCCACTTATAAGTTGGTTCAAAAAAAACGCAGCCTTAGGGTTTATTTAGTGGTGGTGTAATGGGTTTTAATGGGGGTTATTTGGGATTCAATGGGATTTAATGGGATTAAATGGGTTTCAATGGGATTCAATGGGGTTTATATAATGGGTTTCATTCGGATTCAATGGGATTTAATGGGGTTTCACATGGTGCCCCTAATGTAGTTGAGGAAGCTCCGGGGGTCCAAAGGATCCAAAGCCATCAGCCCATCATGATTGGAGGAAACAAAGGGTTGCATCGTCAACCATTTGATTCCCTCCAGGTACCATAAATACATATACCCTCTGGTTATTTAATGGAGTGTTTAATAAGTTTAATAACCATCAGAAATGGTGGTTTCGTATAGTTTAACCATGACAAATGAGGGTTTACCCTCTGGTTATTTAACATAGCTATGGAAAGTGACCCATTTATAGATGATGTACCTAATAAAAGTGATGATTTCCATGGCTATGTTAAATAACCAAAGGGTAAATACCCACAAACTCCTACAGACCCAGTGAAATCTCCAAAGAGAATCATCCAATCAAACCATCAAGAGATCAAATCAGCATGGCATTAAAAGCAAAACACACATAATCTCTCAGACATCAGGGAAAAAACACAGCAATAATTATCGTCGTCGTCGTCGTCATCATCATCAACATCATCAACATCATCAACATCAACATCAACATCAACATCAACATCACCCATCATCAAATTGAAACACACCAAAAAAAACAAAAGTTCACATCAAATTCCGGAAAAAAAAGGACAACATCATCACCCCCAACTCCCAGCCCGGTGCCCCCACTTATAAGTTGGTTCAAAAAAACCATAGTAACTATAGATTTTATCTATTATAAACATCCATAAACTCTATATTTATTCGACTTATAAACCAACTTACCCTCTGGTAAACGTTTACATCACTATGGAAAGGTCCACCATGTTTCTAGCTGGGTAAATCCACTATCTATAATGGAAAATCCCACTTTTTAATGGGTTTCCACTATGTCTATGGCCATTTCCCACTACCCCCCTACCCCCAGCCCCACTACCCCCACTACCCCCAACTCCCACCACCCCCAGAGCCGCCGCGGCGCAGGTTCGGTTGCTGCCACTCTCCACGAAGTTCACCTTGCGGCGGCAGCAGCTGCAGCTGCCGCAGCTGCTCATCTCGCTGGACTGGTCGTTCTCCTGGGTCGGGCTGGGAAAAATGGTTGATTTTTCACCGGGCGAAATGGGAGGTTTCGGATGTTGGAAGTGGAACTCATCTTGGTTTGTCTGATTTTTTTGTCAACTAAATTGAAATTTCATGGTTTGTGATGATTTATTGTCACTTTCCCTCTTAAAATTGCCACTTTGAGGTATCCAACATCTTCAGAGACATCCAAAACCATGGTTACATGGTTGTGTTTCACCATCACAGAAACCGTGCATGGTGAACTAAGCCGCTGACAGTCATGAACACCCTTACCAATCAGTTTCATAATCCTTTATGACCCATCAGCTTAGCACTGAAGGCTTAGGAACCCACTAAAACACTAACTTAGATTCAGATGATTCAGGAGTAGTAACATAATATATCATAATGTAATAACATATCATTGGTATCTAAATGTATAATAAATATCTTTACCCTCTGGTAAATTAACAGAACTATGGAAAATCCACCATTTTATAGCTGGGTAAATCCACTATTTCTATGGCCATGTTCAATAGCTATTTTGACATAACCAGAGGGTATACCATCATATATCCTGACAAATCCCATTAAATCCCATTAAAATCCCATTAAAACACCATTTCCATAATATATGGGATATATGTTTCAATCTTTAAATGTGATGTAGAATCCCCCTTTCCCAACCACCAAAACTTCCATCCCCCACCATCGGTGCGCCTTGTACTCCGTGCATCCGTCCACTCCGACAGTTCGACACCACGCCTGATCCTCGCCAGTGCGGAAGCCATGGCATTCCCACTCCGCATCCGCGTCCTGAGCTTCTGGGCATCTTGTTGCCATGTGCGCCCCAGTGGATGCCAGTGGCAATTTGCTAAAAAAAACAAGATGAAGCCCACGAACCCGAATGCTCACACGTATGTGGAAGATAACGATGTTAAAGTATCGATTATGACAGGAGGTGAAAATGTTAATGCTCAAACCTATCGTAGAACAATGGAACAACGTCATTGCTCCGATTCTGTTTTCTCTCCGCGACAGCAGCACTGGCGTCGCAACGCAGTGGCGCGCGGCAAGCAGCGCCTTCCAAGACATGCAAGCCATGCGAGACGAACATATCACACATGAAACAAAAGGACAGGTTTTGCAGCTTCCCCCATAGACACGGCGAAGCCACGGGCAAACCAGAGACGCGAGACGAGACACGTGGGAGCACCAAAACGAGCATTTCGTACGAGACTTCCTCCAAGTTTGACACTTTGCAGCTTCAAAATCGACACGTATGTTAATGGTACAGATGTCAAAACACATGGTCATGCAGTCACGCACAATACCTTTCTGCAATAGTTTATTTGAACAGTCTTGTACATGTTTCCCTTGTTACCAGTCTGCAGTGTGGAGTGGAAAGTGCAGAGTGTGGAGTGTGGAGTGTGAAGTAAGGAGTGTGGAGTGTAAAGTGTGGAGTGGGAAGTGTAGAGTGTGTAAAGTGTAGAATGCGGAGTGTAAAGTGTAGAGTGTGGAGTATGGAGTAAAAAGTGTAGAGTCTGGAGTGTGGAGTGTAAAGTGTGGAGTGTAAAGTGTGGAGTGAGGAGAGTAAAGTGGAAAGCGTGGAGTGTAAAGTGTAAAGTGTGGAGTGTAGAGTGTATAGTGTAGAGTCGTTGAGTGTAAAGTGTAGAGTGTGGAGTGTGGGGTGTAAAGTGTGGAGTGTAAAGTGTGGAGTGTAAAGTGTGGAGTGTAAAGTGTGGAGTGAGGAGTGTAAAGTGTGGAGTGTGGAGTGTAAAGTGTGGAGTGGAAAGTGTGGAGTGTGAAGTGTGGAGTGTAAAGTGTGGAGTGTGGAGTGTGGAGTGTAAAGTGTGGAGTGAGGAGTGTAAAGTGTGGAGTGTGGAGTGTAAAGTGTGGAGTGTGGAGTGAGGAGTGTGGAGTGTGAAGTGTGGAGTGTAAAGTGTGGAGTGTGGAGTCTGGAGTGTAAAGCGTGGAGTGTGGAGTGAGGAGTGTAGAGTGTGGAGTGTGGAGTGTAAAGTGTGAAGTGTAAAGTGTGGAGTGTGGAGCGTAAAGTGTAGAGTGTGGAGTCTGGAGTGGAAAGTGTAGAGTGTGGTGTGTAGAGTGTGGAGTGTGGAGTGTAAAGTGAGGAGTGTAAAGTGCGGAGTGTGGAGTGAGGAGTGTAAAGTATAAAGTGTGGAGTGTGGAGTGTACAGTAAAGTGTGGAGTGTGGAGTGCGGAGTGTGGAGTGAAAAGTGTAGAGTGTGGAGTGTGGAATGTAAAGTGGGGAGTGTGGAGTGTAGAGTGTGGCGTGAGGAATGTAAAGTGTAAAGTGTGGAGTGTGGAGTGTAAAGTGTAGTGTGGAGTGTGAAATGTGGAGTGGAAAGTGTAGAGTGTGGTGTGTAGAGTGTGGAGTGTGGAGTGTAAAATGTAAAGTGTGGAGTGTAGAGTGTAAAGTGTAGAGTGTGGAGTGTGGAGTGTAGAGTGTAAAGTGTAGAGTGTAAAGTGTAGTGTGGGGAGTGTAGAGTGTAAAGTGACGATTGTAAAGTGTGGAGTGCGGAGTGTAAAGTGTGGAGTGTGGAGTGTGGAGTGGAAAGTGTGGAGTGTGAAGTATGGAGTGTGGAGTGTGTGTAAAGTGTGGAGTGTAAAGTGTAGAGTGTGGAGTGTGGAGTGTAAAGTGTAGAGTGAGGAGGGAGGAGTGGAAAGTGTAGAGTGTAGTGTAAAGTGTGGAGTGTGGAGTGTAAAGTCTCAGGTGAGGAGTGAGGAGTGTAAAGTGCAAAGTGTAAAGCCTGGAGTGTAAAGTGTGGAGTCTAAAGTGTAAATTGTGGAGCGTGGAGTGTAAAGTGTAGAGTGTGGAGTGCGGAGCTTCCCCCATAGACACGGCGACCACACAGGAAAACCAGAGACTCGAGAGGAGACACGTGGGTGCAAAAAAACGAGCATTTCGTGCGAGACGTCCTCCAATTTTGATATTTTCCACACGTTATCAAGCAGGTTGGAATGTCACAAAATGCCACGCCTGCCACGCAAAACGACATGACAAGCTGCTTGGACACATTCGGATAGGAGATGTTTTCCAGCTTCCCCCATAGACACGGCGACGCCACAGGAAAACCAGCGACTCGAGACAAGACACGTGGAGGCAGAAAAACCAGCATTTCGTACGAGACTTCCTCCAATTTTTACATTTTCGACACATTATCAAACAGGTTCGAATGTCACAAAGTGCCACGCCTGCCACGCAAAACGACATGACAACCTGCGTGGAAACATTCGAAAAGGAAAGGTTTTGCGGCTTCCCCCACAGACACGACGAAACGACAGGAAAACCAGAGACTCGAGACAAGACACGTGGATGCAGAAAAATCAGCATTTCGTACGAGACTTCCTCCAATTTTCATAGTTTGAAACATGCCGCAAGAACATGTTTTCCAGCTTCCCCCATAGACACGGCGAAGCCACGGGCAAACCAGAGACTCGAGACGAGACACGTGGGAGCACCAAAACGAGCATTTCGTGCGAGACTTCCTCCAATTTTCACACTTTGTAGCTTCAAAATCGACGTTTTCCTATGAGTTTTCCTTAGAACGTGAAAATTTGCAACCTCAAAATCGATGTTTCGTGCGAGGCTTCCGTCAATTTTCAGCACATGTCAGAAAATGCCACGCCTGCCACGGAATTTGCACCTTGTCGCCACTTGACGCAGCCCTGCCAATGCGATTTGCAAAAAACACGCCACATGACACGTCTAAAGTGCTGCGCCTGCCAGGAAAAATGACGATGGACACGTCCAAAGTGCTGCGCCTGCCACGAAAACTGCAACACATCTTCTGAAAACGTCGCAAAAGTATTGCGCCTGCCACGCAAAACGACTTTCGACACGTTCCAGAACACGTCTGAATGTCACGAAGTGCCACGCCTGCCACGCGAAACGAAGCAACGACACGTCTGAAACCTCCAAAAATTACCACCTCTGCAGAACTTCCCATAGGCACGGCCATACGGTCCTCGCGCGGACGGTTGCGAACGGTTGCGGACGGTTGCGGACGGTTGCGGACGGTTGCGGACGCGGACGCAACGTCGAGCGAACACACTCCAACCCCCAGACCCCCAGAGTGAAACGGGAACCCTTGCTACGCATTCGGGAAAAATGTCAAGCTAGGATTCCTAGGATTAACACTGCCTGATTATTTGAAAGATTCCCTAAAGAATGAATTGGAACTTCAATGGCGCCCTCGGATGTCATCACACGTGGCTAGCCGGGACATCCGCGTGGCCTGAATGAAGGTTTAGAGCTGGAAAAATCATCCAACTATTCCTGGTGGATTTTTCCAGAAAGCCATGTTTGATGACACCAAAGGTGAAATATCCCATCATCTCCTTATTCATATTCCATTGTGTATTTAAAAAAAAAATAATTGTCCACTGAGAAATCATTGTGAGTGCAATATATTAATCAATATTATTGCACCACTAATGATATACGTGTGATTCTCCATTGATTAACCACTAAGAATCATCAAGATGTCATCAATGGGTGTTAATACCACTCATCAATATTATTGAACACCATGTTGATATATGTTTGATTAACCATATACCCTTTGGTTATTGAACATAGCTATAGAAAACAACTGATTTATGATGATTTATTAAAAATGGCGATTTCATGTGATTTCCCATAGCTATGTTCAATAACCAGTTTGATGAATGGTATTAACCACTATTAACCATATATATATATATATACACATTCAATGATTAAATATGTGTGATTATCCATAATTATCCATATATAGATACATATATATATATATATGCGTATTAATCATTTCCCTGGCGGTGTTCACCTTCACCCATCCCAAAAAAACCGAGTCGCCGGAATGCAGCGAGGTGCCGCGGTGGTGCCTTGGAGCTGGGCTCATCGGGGGAAATCCTACGGAAATGTGGGGCTTTTTTGAACGGGAAAAACGTGGAAAAAACGTCCGTTTATATTGGGATATACCGGTAAACTATGGAAAAAATGTGGGAAAATCATCAAAAAAGGTTGGAAAATATGGAAAAAACGATGGAAAATCTTGGGATAAACGGGGTAAACTCAGCAAATGATGTGGAAAACCCATGGGGGAAGCCTGTTCGGAAAAGAATCTTTTGAAATGGTGGGGTTCCACATCGAACTGTAAACGTTTACAGGAAACGCAAGTTGTGGATTTCTCACCACTCCAGGTCATAGACCTCAGTTTCACGTGGACAGCACGTCTTCCAAAGCCAGCATCCCCCAAAGCAAACCATTCCGGATGCGCATTCCAAGAACTTACGAAACACCAGGCTTATTCTAGTAAATAGATTTTAATGGGAAACTCAATTAGAATGGGGGAATTTTTCAGGGTTCGCCTTCCCATAGATGTCACGAGTCACAATGGGGCACTATGGGGCACTTACCATCGCCTTTGATGATAAATCGTCCTATTTCTATCTATTTTTGCTGTTTACGGTTCATTCATTTTCAGATACTGTAGGTTTAATATACCCCCAAGCCGTGGTTGCTCCCAACGCCCCAGATGCAAGGGAGGGAAACTGGGTAGCAACCCTGAGAGATATCAGATGGTCCCACAAGGTGGTGCCTCCCAAGTTATCTATCTACCCGAAACCATAATTGATCTACTTATCAACAAACTTAGCTATCATATTTATGGTTGTAGATATATTATATATATATATATGTGTATAAACTCACATTTACATATATATAATATTATATATATATATATGTTTATATATATATAACATATCCCATTAAAACATACCCAACCACTTAATTAATGATCCATCCGATTTTCCGGATCGCCCAAGGTACAGAAATGGTTCAGCCACAGCTCCTGCGCGAAGCCCGCGCCGCTGGCCACGGCCTCGTTCTCCGTCCAGCGGCCCCGCGACAGCATCCACTGCCGCGAGGCCTCGGAACCGGACCTCGAGGAACCACCAGGAAGGGGCCCTGGTGGAAGTCTTAGCGAAGTTGTCTTATAACTTGATTTATAGGTTTCGGTTTATATATATATATATATATGGGATATAACTTGATATAACTTATAACTTATAACTTGATTATATAAGGTTTGGGTTTATAGGGGATATAACTTAAGATATAACCAATAACTTGATTAAGGTTTGGGTTTGGGGACCTTATCTCATAATTGACTATGTACTTGATGGGGTTTATGAACCAACTTAAAACGGGGCCATTTATAGATGGGATAACACACTTACATAGGGGACTTACGATCACCAGACTTATGATGTCCTCCAAGCATCAAAAGAAAGAGGAAAAATAAGGGAAAACCATGGTATAACCCGTGTGAAAACCTGGTTTAAACCATGGTTTAAAACAGATATAAACCTGGTATAAGTCCCATTATTATAGTTATATTCCCCAGATGGTATAAACCATGGGGTAACCAACAATCAATCTGGGGATATGAGTGGTGAATACAACTTTTTTATAATGGGACTTATTCACCAGGCTAAAAATGACCAGTTTTTGTCTCACGGGGAAGAGTGGGGTATGAGTGTTGGAAATTCATGTTATGTTGGAAAATGATGGAAAATGATGCTTCAAATTTCTGTTTTGCCAAAAAAATGATGACATAGGTTAGAAAATCCATAGTTGTTCTTAGCTTGGCTGGATGAGGTTGACCTTTTTGCATGGCTTGAAACGAAAGTTTTGTTGATATTTGTTTGGTGTTGGCCGTCCACTTCCAAACTGGTCAAAACCTCAGAACTCGGATTTCTACAAGTTTCTCCACTACTGGTGGATCAACATATATGTGAGCCGAACCCAGTCAGGTGTTCAAACCCCAAGAACTTCCACAACAAACTCTCTCATCCCGTCCATTTTCACCCCTTGATGTCATTTTCCCCTGATCCTCAGTGCATTTTGCCGGGCATTCCAACTGACCACCAACCACTTCCTTCACCACTGCCAAGCCACAGATAAGGCTCCACATCGAAGGTCGTGCTGCGACTGTCAAAGCTGGGGAGGTTGTACAGCAACTCACGCTTCGGATGTGTGCCTTAGGAACTGGTGGTGCGGATGGGCAAGACCTGGCCAAGTGGGAGAAAGTCTCGAAGTCGTGAACCCAGTGAACCCGCAAGAAATGGAGGTGTCCCTAAAATATGGGTACCCCTAGTTCTCATCCATTTATAGATTGTTTTTTCCATGAAATAAACCATCAATTTTGGGGATACCCCCATTTTAGGAAACCACCAAATGTCCATCTGTCAAACATCAAGACAACCCATCAAACCCTTTCGAATAATTTTGCGGAAACATGACAGATAAACACAAGGAAGTACCAAAAAAAACAGGAATACCCAGTACCCTCATGATTGATGATAAGAATATCCACAAAGAAATCTCATGGTCTGCAAAAACTCAGCATAATCGGTTCATCAAGGTGCCATAGGACTTCTTCCAACTGCCTGCAGGCGCCGTGCGCTGTCAGCTTGGGAGTTTTTGCTCAAACTTGTGGACGTCCCCAAAACCGGTATGATGTTTTCCCTACTTCAAACGCAAATGTTGGTTTTTTTTGGGGGTGGGTCCCTAAATTCTATGAACCCCACCCAGTTCCGAACGCCTAATCCAGATGTCCCTTTTTTGGAAGTGAGGATGGGTGTGGGTTCATCTTTTTCTGGGTGTAAAGCTGCATACGAAAAATAAATGTACAGCCAATGCAACTAACACGGAAAGTGAGGAAAAAAGAAACGCGAAAAATAACAACTTGGAAAGATCATTGAGAATCTGACCAATAAACAGCAAGATAAGGCAATAGCTACATTGGCAACACCTTGCTAAAAATTCCTTGAGAAAATCAGCAACAAGATGGAGAGATCACCACTTTCCGGTCATCAAACATGGCACTTGAGAATCCACGGACGAAATGGAGGATCTTCCAGCAAGCCATGGTTGATTACCGGAGAGTAACCGCTGGAACGCCAAGCACTTGGAAGTGCAGTTCCAATCATGAGTGGATAATCATAAACTATACTTATAGGACTTATATTCCATATATATATAATATGTCTATATATCATATATATATATATATCATACCCATTTCTAACCTCAACTGCACCCCCCAATCCCATCCCATCCCCACCTACGTAGGGCGCGAATTTGGCCTTCGTATATTTGGAGAGCGACACATTGGAGGCCCAGGTGAAATGCCCCACTTTTTCCATGGCACCCTGGCGTGGGGGGCGTGGTTTCCTACCGGGGAAACCCGAAATTTCAACCAAAAAAATTGGATTCAACCAGGAAAAGATCAGGATTTAAGGCATATTGGAATTCAGATGTGATTTTATGAACCCATATAAATTCGGATTGATGCCTTATTTATGATAGGGATAAAGTTGGTATATAAATCGCATAAAATTGAGAACTTTAACGAATATTGTAGATAATGTGTGTCAATAAGATAAAATTGCTGGATCCATGGTCAACATATCTAAAAGATTAGCTGTTTGTACACCAACCTTTAAACTGGAGGCCCTTCTTCTTGTAGGAAATCATACCGTTTTTTTGGTCACCAGCAAGCCCTGGCGCAATGGAGTGAATCTGAGTTCAGAGTACCATGTGCTGGTTGGACATGCACCTTGGCCTGTTGGGTCAAACTCATTGAGTTGAATAAATATAGTATAAAAACAAGTACATCAAATGTACCAAAAATCATCCAAACTTGTTGTCCAAAACTTGTCCCCCCAGAACTGTAGCTCAAGTCACTGGGTGCTCAATAAAAATGAGATGCTTGGTACAAAATCGTGTGGCTTGCAGCGCAAGTTATCCCTCCCCGAACATTCATTCATCACAATCCAAAATCTCCATCATCAGACCAGCCCGGAAAAAAAGGGGTAGGAAATTCCCCAAACTAAACAAAAATGCCCTAAAAAAAAATGATAATTTTATGGCACCAAAAAAAAAATATCAACAAGTCAAACGTGTTTTCCAGGGCTCTTCCACCCCTACCCAACCTCCACCAGACTCCAGTCGTTCATTTCACCACGGAGGTACATGCTGCTGTGCCATGAAGCCAAGCAGGGCTTCCCAACTGGCGGCCGGTGCAGGGAACCAACTCCAAATCATCAACTCATGGATGACCAATGTTAGACTAGTACCCTCTGGTTATATATTTAACATAGCCATGGTATAGATGGCCTATTTAGAGATGGTTTACCTATTAAAAACTGGTGATTTTCCATGGCTATGTAACAAATAACCAGATGGTAAAAGCAATGCTTTTTGGGGGGAATCTCCCATTTCAAAAACAAAAAACAGATGATTCTCATCGTTTGTGATCTGTCTTTGCAGGAATTTGTGTACTTTTGAGAGTACTATCACCACAGAGATGCTGATTCGTCCAAAGAATCCTGTGGTGTCTTCAACAGGAATCATTGATATTCCTGATATTCTCCACAAATTCTGAATGTTTCCTGCTTGAATCAGCTAAATCAGCTACCCTCCTGTAAACTAACATAGATGTTGAAAATCACCATTTTTAGTGGGTAAATGAACTATAAATGGCCATTTTCAATAGCTATGTTAAATTACCAGAGAGTAATCGAATAATGATGTACCTTCTCACACCTTCTTGAACCACTTCCATGTTGTGACCATTGGGGTGAGAGGAGTCTCGTACGACTGGGGATTGCATGCATAAGCATCTACAAACTGTTATGTTTGTAGTGTATGATGGCCGGGAAAATGAGCTTCTGAACCATTCGAATTGGGCCCCAACCCATATGTAATGTATATATAATTTATAATGTTTGTCGTGTGATAGAAAACGACCCACATCTTGGTGCTTTCTGAGATGGTGATATCCCGACTTGGAAGAGCCAAAGCATCCTTTCCGAGCTTGCGAGCTTGAAGACTGCACCAAGATTATCCCAGGTTATCCACCCGGGACCCATTGGAATCCCATTGGACAGTGAAGCATTGGAGTCCCGTGGCCATCCCAGGGCAGTCACAAAGATGTCACCCCAATGGCAAACCCCCTTCGCAAGCCAAGCCTCTAGTCTCAAACATGAGATAAAAAAAAAACAGACAACATCAGACAACCATGATATAATTAGGTGAAGTGATATGTGTTGTTTACATCACCACTCTCGATGGTCGCCCAGTTTGTGTTGAGCAAATCCTGGTTGGTATCCAGTAGCAATCCACCATCACGCAGGGGGATCTGGAAGCACAGCACGCCATGTTTGGCAGAGAGTCAACTCTTAGTGCACCCATCGCCCAAATTGGGGAAATCAAGAGCTGGTTTCGATATTTCACCACCGTTTCAAGTGATGTTGAATCAGCTCAACCCAAACTGTGGTCCCTGGGAGCCCTCATATGGACATTGAAAGGGGAACCCCAAAATATGGATTTGGGTGCGCCATGAATAGCCCAGATGGGCCGTGCACCCAAAAGAAAACTGGAAAAACCATCTGCGACCCACAGAAAAGATATGTTACCTGGAGATCTTGGAAAATCAACCCAAGTAATTTCCCCCAAGACACAAAATGGATGCCCCATTTTTAAGTTTCAATGGATTGGTTTAAGGGAAAATTTACAGGAAAGTCCCATATTTAATGGGAAAATCTATGGTTTCCTGTAGATTTTCCCTTAAACCAATCCATTGAAAGTTGGGCTCTCTAACTTGTGCACGATGTACCCACCATAGATCCATCCGCTATTGATGTTAACTAGCTTAGATAACAAACACTTGTACCATCAATGAATCACTGTAGTTATACACCAACTTACCTATCATTCATTGGCTAAATGTTTGTTCGAACTCATCATATCCTCATTTTATCCCACTTCATGGTTACTTGCCTATCATTTGGGGGATCCTTATCACTCTTTATCAATTATCCCTACCTCCAATTTTTCGTATAAACATCCCATATCTAGTTGGTTTCATCATGCTTCCATCCCCATTTATCCACCCTCCAGCCATCGATTTCGCTGAAGCGTCGTACTACCCAGCTCCCGAGGGTGCCGGTCGTGACCCCGAGGGACCACCAGAGGGACGCCTTCCGGAAATGTCGGGAAGGTTGGCAGCAAAAAAAACCATCATGTTGACCAAGGTTTCATCAGGGTGAGATCCATTGGCCCTAGGTTTCATGAGAATTTGGCAGGAAAATTAGGGTTGTCACTCGTCACTACGGGTTGAGGTGAAGTTTGTGTGGCAAACCAGAGTTCTTCAATTTGTGGGTCCTGTAAATTGTTTTGGCCAAAAACATCACGACCCCCGAATCTTCTCCAGCCACAAAGTCAAATCATCCCAAATCATCTTACAGGCCAACATTGATGGGGATGGGGACGGGCTGCATGCTTGGATCTGATCATTCAAGTTCCCTTCTACATGGTAATGATTATTGGATTGGAATCCTTAGGGATGTGACTATTATCATCCTTTTCAGTTGGAGATAGACTATAGAATCCCCTAAAAATGGAAAATCCTACAAAAATTGATGATTGGGGGGTACCCCCATGACATAGGAAACCTCCATATGTGCCATGGTCAAAGCATTGGTCTACTGGGGCATCATCCCACCATCACTAGGGCTTCCTTGTAAAGGCTATGTAAATACAAACTGGTTGGTGGTATACCTACCCCTCTGAAAAATGATGGACTGAAAGTCAGTTGGGATGATTATTCCATTCCCAACTGAATGGAAAGTCATGTCATCCATTCATGTTCCACACCACCAACCAGAAATGCCATATTATCCCCAAAGATAACTCGCGAATCCCGCCACTCGGACGTTGCCTGACTCCCGCGTCACCGCCATTGCCGCCATTGCCACCGCCGCCGCCGGAGGTGCCAGGTTCTGAGATGGACGGAGGCGATCCCCACACTTTTGGGATAGTTGGTGACGAGGAGTTTCATGGATTTACAGATAAGTCACTAGAGTCACTAGGATAATCAAAGATGTATTTAACATGACACTATTTACAGATAAGTCACTAGGATTCACGTATTCAAACACTATCTATCACTAGGATAATTTGCGGGAAAAACGATGAAAAACCATAAGAAAAAAGGGTGATAGCTGGTGATAGTCCACGTGATGATGGCAAGTGGCTCCTGCATCTTCATCCAATGATCGGGGTGCCAATTCATTATGTGAAGCTGTGCAGGAGTTTTAGAGCGGTCTAACTTTGGTGCATAGGCCTCAGGCTTTAAAATGCACAAAAACAATGAAAACTGGCTCTGCAATAAAATGCCTTGCCACCAAATTCATGCTTGAATGTGCATCCAACATCATCCAATTTCATCCAATTTTGAAGACCCTCAGAAACGCATCTTTAAAAAGAGGTCAGGAAATCCATTTTAGATAGGGGTATTTTAGAGTGAAGGTGCTCAAATATTTAATGGTTTTCTTCTGTTTATAGCATTCTGTAGCAATAAAATACGGTGGCATTCTTTCGTAGCAATTCCTTAAAATTCCTCAAAAATCCTATAAATTCCTTAGAATTCCAAAAAACTCATGAAAATTCCTTAAAATCATTTAAAATCATTAAAATCCGTAAAAAACTTTCAAATTCCGTCAGATTCCTTTAAGATTCTTTAAAATGCCTTAAACTTCCTTGAAATTCCTTTAAGATTCTTGAAAATTCCTTAAACTTCCTTGAAATTCCTTTAAGATTCCTTTAAATTCCTTTAAATTCCAAAAAAATCCTTCAAATTCCTTTAACTTCCTTTAATTCCTTTGACATCCTTTAGAATCATTCGAAATCCTTGAAAATCTTTCAAATTACTTCAAATTCCGTGCCTTAGCCATAAACGACTGCAGAAAGAGAAGCTTCTCGCTGATCTAAAATGACATGCCCAATAAAATCGATATAAAAAGATCCTGGAAAAACACTGGTTCCATTCTGCAATAAAATGCTCCAAGCAAACATTTTTTTGCAATAAAATGAGAATGGAATTTTAACATGTTACAAATCATCAGGATTTACCTTTACAATAAAATGCTTAGCCCAACCCCCCAACAATAAAATGACTAGCCTGACATCAATTTTAAAATTCCAATACATTAAGAATTTCGTTTAAACTATGCACAGGTTCACCAGTTCTAGAGTGGAAATTGCCACGGGGATATCCAATGGACATATCAGGTGCACCAAATGGTGTTCATGTTGCCCCATGATGGGGATCATGTGAAACACATGGGAGACCACAGGGATCACAAGATCAAACTTATAGGGCCAGTTTCCAATGCCTCCGAGGACAGATTCTTAGCTGTGGCATGTTGTGGCGCAAACATCCCAAACAGGGATGGAAAATGGCTTTCCTTCTTTTCTAAAAAAAAGCCACCGAAGAGTAAAGTCAGACCTTTGTTGAGAAACCCAAATCACCCGCAGATTGCGAACAAAAACTAAAGGCTCAGAGGCCAGTAGTATCTGTGTCCAAAAGTGGCGGACTAAATTTGTCACCCAGGGTTGCTCTCCCAACACTCCAGATACCAGGGGGGGAACCAGGGGCACTAAGCAAAATGTCCCATGTCCCATCATTTAGCCCCGACTTGGTTGGAGCAACCTCAAATATCAGATAGGTGATTACATCATGTTGCATCCCCAGAATATTTGAATTATTGTTGGCTTTATAGCTCCATATATGCTTCATCTACCCCATACGATCTGGTTGGTGGTTGAGCCACCCCTCTGAAAAATGATGGAGTTCGTCAGTTGATATTATTATTCGCAACTGAAAGGACAAATCATCCATTCATGTTCCAAACCACCAAGCAGCGATTAGTCTCTATGTCAACGTCATTCCTGGTGGATTTTTCTCCCCCAAACCCCCCCGATTTCTCCGCCACACCGGCAGGTTTTTGCTGCCAGCTTGCTCTTGCACTGCGGACAATTCCTTAGTCGCCAAGCTGCTAGACAGCTCAGCCGTTTCAGGGACCTAAATTGGAGGTACCTACCATCTTTTTTAGGGGAATATACCCCTGGTTGGTGGTTTTAACAATCCTGAAAAATATGAAAGTCAATGGGCATGATGACATCCCATATATGAAATGGAAAATCAAATTCATGTTTGAAACCACCAACCAGACCCACCTTTTATTGGCCTTACAAAAAATCTGGTACCGTACCTTCAATTTAATAATTTAGGGTCCTGAAATTCACACTGAGCTTGTAGCAACCCACCACTTGGAATTGACGGGCGAGGAGTAAACACATCCATTTTGGGGGCTACCAGCCACTTTCGAAACAGAACCAACAGCAAGTTCCCAAAAAAAAGACGTGAAAAACCATGTTCCAAAGCCATCAGATTTAGGGCTGTTCCCCAAGATCTTCAGACTTCAAGCCACAAATCCTGTGGAAATCCGAGGCCATGAGCTCATCCCCACTAGATGATGGGAATGTTGACGTGATACATGGGCATCTAAATCTCATATGTTTCGCTTAAAAACCCTCAAATAATCATTATAATAATCATAATCATTATAAAGAAAACATAAATCATCCATAAATCATCCATAAACCATCCATAAGTCATCTGTAAATCATCCATAAATCATCCATAAACCATCCATAAATCATCATTAAACCTCACATGTTTCTGGGATTTCTGAGTTCAACATCCCCGGTTTTCTTTCCGCCAAGGCGCGCGATGTGCTCGGGGAGCTTCAGCTGGCTCACCTCGATCTTGCAGTAGGGGCAGTTCACTATCCTCACGCTTCGGCGAAACAAATGGGCACTGGACCTCTGAACAAATGGGGATGTCACATGAAAACCAATGTCCAGGCAATACATATCTTAGATTATCTTAGTATCCGCGAGTTTTGACGCTTGCTCATATCAAAACCTATAAGGATTTTTAGATGGATTTAATATGATTTAATATATAGTTTGACCGTCAAGAAGAAGGATTTTGGCCGTGAGTAGTGGATGGTTTGGCGATTCTGGTAAACATAGTCGTGGGGTCTATCTGATTGGATATATTCAGTAAATGGGGGTATCGAGAGTAAAGATTGCGGACTTCACCAAAACTCCGGATTGAAACCATCCCAAGATTGACCAGAAACAGTGGATTTTCATGGCCATTGTCAGCTTTATCGGAGTACGTGGTCAGAATGCCATGCCCCATAAAAAAAAAAAAACAGCAAAAAACAAACTCGATCTTTGGCTTATCACTAATATATGGCTATGAGTCCAAACCCTTTTCCCCTAACATCAAAATAGCTGGGATTTATGGATGTTCATCCCCTAACAAAGTGTCTATAGGTATTGATCCATAGCCAAATGATATATGATTTGTTTACTTCCTGACAAACACTAATTATAAGTATACCTTGTATCCCCTGGTCAGACTTCCCAAATCATCCATCTCAATCTTCTCCCAAGCCTTGTAGCCCGCTTCTTTTCACATTGCTTCTGATGAAACTTCAAAGAAGCCTCGCTTGGGCGACCAAGGGTTTGGGATCCATAGGGATTTTCCATGATTTTCCTACAACCTGTGGCCATCTTCATGTGGACATAATGAAGTTTTATCATGGTCCAAATGAGGGGATTGTAAGGATACCACATGTTCAGGAGAAAAACCAACTGCTTTGAGTCATCTGGGGGTTTCCATAAATGGGGGATCCCCAAAATGGATGGTTTATAATGGAAAATCTCAATCTAAAATGGATGAGAACTGGGGGTACCCCCATGACTTAGGAAACCTCCATCTAGGCCCCTAACCCCCCAAGAACAATTCGGACCGCAACGTCGGACTCCTGGAGCAAGGGGATTGCCTGAGGTCCACTTTTTCTGACAAATCTACGCCATATTTTGGTCACCTTTACCTGTGATGTCATGTCATCATGTAGCAGCTCCAAGGCCTAGAAAACGGCCGAAAACGGTTGGCTAAAACGCCCTGGATACCACATAGTTGTCTATTGAAATGGGATGGGAACCTGGGAAACATAACAATGATTTGATGATGCATGGATTTTCCTGGATTTTCCGGTATCCCCTATTTTCAGACCAAACTAAAATTTCAGGGAAGGCTGAAGGGCACATTGATCGGAACGCCCTACAATGTTTTTGCCGCCCTGTGCCCCCAAAAAGTTAGTGGAAAAATGAGTGTAAGAAACCAACGTAATCTAACGAACTGGGGCACCATTTTTGATAGTCAAGTCCTTATTGTTGATGATATCCCTTCTTAATGAAATAAAATCATCATGTTTGATGATATCTCCACATGTTCCTGAAATTCTTGCATCCTTGATGGTTCGTGGTGTTCCACATGATCTTCCCCATGATTTCTCAATGAGTTTCCAATTAATAACTCCCCTGACCCAAAACTTCCATCGGTTTTCCCCCCCTGTTCTCCAGGTGCCCAGGCCGGAAAGAACTTCTCGTTACAGAGCGGGCACGGCACGGCGCGCGCTTCAGGACCAGGCATGGCTCGTGCGAAGCGTTGCGATGCGGTGCGTTGGGGGTTGACTACGGCTGGGCTGTCGGATGCTGTCGGCTGAAGCTTCAACAGTTCTTTCATTTGGGGAGGCCACCGTAAGAAAAAGATGCAGAAAAAGTATACGATGTGATTCCAATTGGGAAGGGTAACTTATGATCTTTTTGGCCTTGAATCGTGGGGGTACTATGGAATGGTTATCCTTGAATTATGGCAATGACGTTTCTTAAGCACCAAAATCGATGCGCAAAAACTTGGTGGTGGTTCAAGCGTTATGGGCCCAGGGGGGACCCCAAAATAATAAAATAGTGATCCCACACGTGTATCCAAATCCCCCCAAAAATATGGTAAAGAAATATTGAACATATGAATACATATCGGCTAAAACGTGCTAAAACACCGGTAATTGGAGAGTCTAGACACCATCTTTGTCGGTAATTGGAGAGTCTAGAGATGTCTAGGTATGTCTAGGTGGATGTTGTATTCGGATTGACACCCAAAAGGCGCAACATGGCGCAACTGTTTCACCGGCCATCTGTGGTGTCTTCATACCGTTCATCCATGCACGTTTAGCTGCTCCATGACTCGTCAGCCATGCAACATGGATTGCATGGATCTTGTCTTTGCAACTGACACCTCGACCCAAAATGGCCCAGTCAGAACATTGGCTGACCAAAGAAATTGGTTTGTATTGGAAGCAAGTTTCAGTTTTTGGGAATGCCATCTTCCAAGCTTGATATCAAATGGTGTCTTGACTAGCCTCTCAATATCTCGCTTCACCATCCTGACAGTAGGGGCTGCAGTTCCTCTAATTTCTGCGGCTTAAAAATACCGGGACTATCCCAACGGAGGCCCGAAACGCCCCAACGTTGGCCTTCGAGGGAGGGAAGGGGTGCGGTCGGATTCACATGTTGAATCATTTATCAATTTGAATTTGTGTCCATCAATTTAAATAGACTTAAGAGATAGTAAGTTGATGTAAGTTGCAGTTAGTTGTATCAATTTATCCACATTTACAGATTTACAACAGAAAGAGATCTCTGCTCAGCGGATCAACCACTTCAAGGTCCCCCCCCTTTCTTTTCCGACTCCGCTTCGACTCGCATCGATGCTGCTGAGAGATCTGGTTCCATTCTGGCTCGATCCCTTCTTGCGATGGCAAACGCTTGGTGGTTCGACATCACACCCGGGCCCGGGATTTCTGTGCCTAGACGATCGACACCTTGAGCGTCGTTGGGAAAACTGCGCCCGGATCTGAAACTTCAAACAGCGCCGAATCTTAGCATAGGGTTTTTGTTCACCTCCAAATTTTGAGAGTCCTATATATTCTGGTGAACGTTCACAGAAAACTATGGAAAGATCCGCCATTGTTCCCATTGGGATGTTTAACAATAAATTCTCTGCTTGGTGGTTGACCTACCCCTCTGAAAAATGATGGAGTGAAAGTCAGTTCGTCAGCGGGGTGATGACATTCCCAACTGAATGGAACAGTCATAATCCATTCATGTTCCAGTCACCACCAAGCAGTTATGAATGTTCGTGTCCTGAATGGGGATGCCATGGGGTTACCCCATAAGATGGCTGGTTTAGAGATTGATGTCATTTCGTTGTTACCCATTTTGTTCTATATTGTTATAATATGTTATAATATAAAGATTCAGAGTCTTTTCCTGCAGATTCTCCCCTCCAAGATCTCCTTTCCGTTGATTTTCTTGTTTTGAGACATGGCACTGGGGGATGGGTGTAGTACCAGCCAAGAAATGATACGGATGAGCTTAAAACTTGCAAATATGGAAACGGAATTGGAACCAGCTTTGGTGTTTGCATGTTCTTTCCCATGTCTTGTTGCTGGTAGACAATCTATGACAACATGGACTGCACCAACCAGTCAAAACCAGTTATATTATGTTGTCACATTGATTGCATCCCCAGGATCATGAAATCATGTTTAATCCCCATGTTTCATCATGTTCATCCCCTTTTTTCGTGACGCTTTAATCCGAAGCCTTCTAACAATTTATGGAGGTTTCCTAAAATGGGGCCCCATGTGTATCATTTTGTGAGAGTTAGAAATCACCAAGAGACCTGTACTGGCGGCGACATCTCAGATCCCACTGGCGCGCCTTTATGAACTTTATGCGCCGCCAAAAAAAACTCAGCGGCGCCAGATGCGAGCGCGACGTGGTCTTGGCCCAAGGGTGGCATGGCCCAAGGTTGAAGAAAATCCAAAAAAAATGGATGTTTTAATGGGAAAATCATCTATAAATGATGGATCTTTTGCTAGGTTTTTGACATTGAAGAACAAGAACATATGGATTGAACTAGAGCAACAATGTTTCAGTTTGGCCATTGAAAAAGGGAATCTGGAGAGTGAAGATCATGTAATAATGCCCAAACATGATTTAAGGCCATGAAATTCATGGGCATCACTCATTAGTTCCTTTGAGGTTGCTGCAAGATGGTACCCCAGTTCCATAGCTGAGTTGGTTTAGTTAGCAAAAATCCATGTGGATATAACGAGTTTTCGGTGAAACTAAACCAACCCAAACATCACTGTGGGGTCGCCACCTTGATCGTGGGGAGACCCAACTGATGACAACATCTGGGGTCGACATAGCCGGTTATGAACTGCAGCCGCGATCCCCTTGGTGTCCCTTCGAATATCCTGACCATCAGTAGTCTTTCTGGCTAAGAATTCTCGACTGCGGTAAATGATTCCTGCAAGTACCATTCATTCCGAACCACCTTTGCAACATAATTGATGATGTACCGGCAAATCTTCTTACAACCATTTACAACCACCAACCCACTCCTCAGAGTACTCCATCAATGATCTCTTCACGACGTCAGCGAGTCTCGTTCCTTCTTCCAAAAAAAGCGACCAGCAACGACCACGGCCCGCGATCGCACACGAATTCAAGGGCTTTCCATCAACCCTCTAGGGATCCAGTCTCAAGATCATCATTTCGGAGAAAAACAGGCAAAAAAAATCGGCAAAAACAGGTAAAAAAAATCGGCAAAAACTCGCTCGCCCTGGTGCGTTTTACGGGAATTTTGCGGGAATGATCCCACTAAATCACTAATGTCATCCCAGCAACCCCCAGCAAGCCATTCATTCCCTACGTTTAGCACGCACGCACCAGTTTAGCACGATAGTTGGATTCAACTCACAAATGGGGGAGTTCATGGACTATGTCAGGCCAGGCACCCAGGGTAGAAATGATGAACCAGTATTACCCTCTAATAATTTGTTACATAGCTATTGAACATGGCCATAGAAATAGTGGATTTACCCATTGAAAATGGTGATTTTCCATAGTTTTGTATGTTTACCAGAGGGTAACCTTTGTAATCACCATTATTAACCAAATTGGGTTGCCATGAAGTGTTCACTCTACCGGTGGTTTTATTCATCACTTAAAGAATATTAAACAATGGTGAGTCATCGCCCTGCATCCAGCAGATGACTATCACTCTGGGCAATTTTAGATGCTATCCATAAGTATTTCCTGGCCGTTTATAGCCTATGTTCTCATTTTACGGCCCAAAAAAGTCAAAAAAGTGGTCCTGGGAGTCCTGAACTTTTCATTGTTGACTCAACTCAGATTATTCCCATAGTTTTTTACGGCTTGCACCAGAAATCTCATGGTTTAACCGACATGTTTTGATGGTAAAACCACCTTGAAATTCATAGGTTTTCAGCAGGTTTCAGCACTTGGAAAACGTCAAATCCCTAGCTTGGAAAACGTCATGCTGCATGGTGAAATCTGTGGGATTCTCACGACTTGGCGATTCGTTGTCAGATTTCTATCTGGACAGTTTAACCCCAAACCTAGGAATCATATATATATACATATATATATATCCTAGGAAATATCTATTTATCTGTTGTCTGTCTATCCATCTACCTAATCGATAATCTAATCTAATCTATCATGTTCCATTCATTCTCAGTCCCCCAAGGATCTTCCAGATTTGTCCTTGGATCCAGCATTTGGCGTACTTTTTTTTCGCCGACCATTTCAACTGCCTCCGGTGAAGTATCATTTTACTATGGAAAATGCCCGTATCTTCAACATTGATCAACATTTCATAGATGATTTAGCTATGAAAAAGTGATGTATAACTGTAGAATCATTTAGTTCGATGAATTACCTATTCAAAAAATGGCGACTTTTCCATAGCAAAGTTTTAGCTTACTGGAGGCTATGCTGCCGCACAATGGTACCCCTAAGAAATCGGCAGGTGAACCAATGAACCCCTCATGGCAGAACGGAACTTCTTCATGGCAGCCATCAACAATAGTTCATAATCTCATACTACTAAGGGATCATTTTTGGGCCTACAATGTGGGCCCCCCCAGTGATGTTAGTTGGTTAACAAAAAACCCATTAAAACTATAGTTATAAGATGTTATAAGTACCATGGTTAACAAAAAACCCATTAACATCCATTAACTATAGTTATTTGCGTACCATAAACATCCATAAACCATAGTGAAATTGGAGTTATGTGAACCCCAACTGAACGCTAGCTTTCTCACGGGGGCCCCAGGGAAGTCCTCGAGCTCGGCTGAGGGCGTCATGGCTTTCGTGTTGGCTGATGAATCCCAAAAAAAAAATTTTTGGTATCCCGGAAAGCAAAAAAATCAACCAAGCATTCAATTTGTTCGGCTGTCATGGTACGTGTGTTCGTTGATGATGAATCCCCTATTAATATTAATATTAATATAGTGTAATCCCGGAAACAATCATCAACCATTTTTTCAACATTTATCAACTATATGCTAACTAGATCTTCATCTTTTGATGGTCAAAATCCCAATGATGGTTATATAATCCCTACTTAAATGATTAAACCCCTATTCATCATTAATCATGGTTAAACCCCTATTAAATCCCTATGAATGATGTGGTTAAATCACCATCAGAGACGACGCTCCTCGTTTCACCACGCAGCACATCGAAAAACCATCGCTGCCGGCACCATCACAGCGCCGCCATGCACCACCCACGGATGGCAAGGGGCCGAGTTCACTTTGGGGGCGCAGGTTGATGGATAGGACTATTTCTATGGCCATTTTCAATAGCTATTTGATGCTATTTCTATGTTTACCAGAGGGTATATATATATAACATGTCTATTTCATTGGACTTTATTGGATGGGTTTAACGAAAAATCTTCACCGGAAACCATGGTTTTTCAAAAATGAAAATCATGGGACTTTCCTGTAAGTTCTTGAAACAAACCCAATGAATTCGTTGGCCTTTAAAGGCCCTTCTATGACTTGGCCTTACAAAGCTGCTCCAAAACAACACATTAAATTGTTGGTTAAACCGTCAAACTTTGAATGTTCTCACGTACAACTTTGCAACCTCAACTCAAAACCCCCCACCATCCGCAAAAAAAACAGTTCTTGGTCCGCAAAGTTTGGACCCCACCGCTGTGCGGTTTGGAAAAAAACGGCGCACCCAGCGAGGCCACTGCTGTAATCGAATCTCAAGGCTCTGCTTCGGAGCGACCCGCCTCATCCTGGCAGAAAAAAATGAATCCAGGGACTAAGTTGACATTTTCTGACTTAGGATTAGTTAAGTGGTTAGCGACTGGTGGAAAAAACTGGCTAAACAATGGATTCTCACCCAGTTGCCAACTAGTTAGTTAATCCCGTGATCCATTTAAGTAAGTATGTATGTATGTATGTATGTATGTATGTATGTATGTATGTGTGTATATATAATTATATATATAATTATATATATATATAATTATATATATATACTTGAGAGGGGGGAGGAAAGGTAGGTGGGGGCATATACAGTGGTGACAAATAAGGTGTATATACAGTAAGGGACCGACAGTTAGAATTAGAATATGAAAAAATAAGTGAACGCAGATAGAATTTGAAAATTTTGTACGCCGCTGTCAACAATGATATGTTGCCCCTTACTGCCGTCCCTTACTGCTGGTCCCTTACTGCTGGTCCCTTACTGTATGTTTTTGAAGATAAAGATGCATGCCAATCATTGTGCAGTGGGGCTACCCATCACAAGGGAAATCAACCTTGTTACATTCATACACCCACCCACCCACGCACACACCAACAGGGTCTGTCAAAAGCAGCATGGTGAGTTTCAGCGGCCCACGGAGCCGCATGAAACAAACATAAACAAACTCTTTCTTTTCCTCCTCTCTTCTTCTTCTTTTTCTCCATCTTTCCCAGTTCAGCCCTTTCAGCTGCTCTCTTGCTTTTGTACTTAGAAACCGTGCAAGAACAAACATGGTGAAAATTGCATTGCGCAAGTTGTTTGCTGGTATTTTGTGCGGTTGTGTGGTGCTGCTGGTGTTGGTGGTGAAGTGAGTGATGAAAAAAACATCCAAACCTACCCATATTCTAACTGCACTTTTCACCACCAGAATTCACAACGAGTATAGACAAGTTTTACCGTACTAACCAACCTCGGGCACTCACTCACTCACTCACTCACTCACTCACTCACTCTCTCTCTCTCACTCACTCACTCACTCACTCGTTTTTGCGTGGCAGGCGCGGGGCTAGATAGATGATTAGTTAGCCAACATCCGCATGTACATCACATATATTACAAACTGCCTCTTACACCCGGTACACATATCCTTAACACACTACCAAAGTGACACACCTGTACATGCACATACATACACACATTCACACAAAAATGTACAATGTAGACAGATAGACCTATAGATATCAACATGAACATCCATGCTTCTATACTAATATGCATCATATGGGGATGGGTCAAAACCCTATCCCCCTGGTGAACATCAAAATAGCTGGTAAATGGATGTTCATCCCCCTAAAAATGGCATGTATAGGTATTGACCCATACCCATATACTGTAGTTACTAGTTCCATGTAAGCAAAAAGTCACCATCCGTGGTCCGCCCACCTCTTTGTGATGAATGTCTCCTGCCAGGTCCCAGGATTTTTGTGTAATTCTTGGGACATACCCTCTGGTAAACGTTCACATAACTATGGAAAATAACCATTTTTAATGGGTAAATCAACTATAAATGGTCATTTTCAATAGCTATGTTAAATTACCGGAGGGTACCCTCTGGTAAACATAGAAAAAGCTATTGAAAATGGCTCATTTATAGTTGATTTACCTATTAAAGATGTGATTTTCCATAGTTATGTCACAATGTGAACGTTTACCAGAGGGTATGTCATGAAAAAATCATGAAATATCCCACAGGGAGTATCACTTTCTATGATTTCTATGTATGACTTTCTATAGCCACAAACTAGGCAGAACATGGGATACCTACATGGTTGCTGAACAGCTTTCCCATGTTGCAAGACTCCCCAAGAAACCAGGTAATACGGGTGAATAATCCGGCAAACATAGAACCAATCGACAGGGATACCCTCCGGAAATCAAAGGTGGCGTGCTGGACTCCCATTTCGAAGCTGGTTGGTGGTTGAGCCCAACCCCTCTGAAAAATGATGGAGTGAAAGTCAGTGGGGATGATGACATTCCCAACTGTTTCTGGAAAGTCATAAAAGCCATGTTCCAAACCACCAACCAGTAAGATGATTCTCCCAGCGATAAACCTCCATTTAGTGGTGAAGCTACGGAAAACGGTTGATGTGAAACTTCCGGTGCAGTCGTATGCAGCTACCAAAAAAATCACCCAAAATCAGGAATTCTAGGGATGGAGCGCCTGCTGACTGCAACCCCCAAAAGGATGTCGTATCGTAAAGCATGGGATTATCATGGGATTGTCATGTTTTTTTCCCGATACATTCCGCATTTCCAACTTTACATTACCACTGTATCTTCTGCCAGGTTGCCTCTGGATGTCACCAATTCGATTTTTCTGCTACCTCGTGGTGAAAAATTGGTCTTAGAAGTTCCACACAGCCATGGTTCATCCGAATTTTCCCCACAAAGCCATGGTCCTTTCGGGAGACTTCCCAGCGATGAACCTAGAGTTCCAATTTGCTGCCAGTAAGAATCCCCATTTCTTCCAAAGCTAGTGGCTAAACAACTGTTGTTCATCTTCTCCAGCTTACATGATGGGAGTTTTCTCCCACTTGAAAGTGCAAACTTAGCCGCATCCCCATAAGTAAACATAAGGCTTCATGTTTGGGGCTGCAACGACCAGCAAGGACCCTGGGACCCTGTCCTGTTTGCACGGTGCCTTGACTGGTGTAGCCTCAGGGCGGCTCTCAGACCACCTGGACCTACATTTAAAAAAGGTGAAATCACAGGTAGTTCCTCCCAAAGTCAAGGGATAAATGGATACTGTATATAGTACTCTCCAGTAAATTAACATAGACCCTGGCAGATAGGGGTTGGAAGATTAGTGAAATTACTAAAAATTGGTGATTTTCAGGGTCAACAAGTTCATTTACCAGAGGGTAAATGGTATATTACAGTCCCTGAAGACATTAGGGTGAGAAACCATCGGAAAAACCCAATGAAATCCATTCGATGATCATCATTTCTTGTTCGCCGCAATTCTGGCGTTTTTTGCCGAAATATTGCACTGGTTGGTGGTGCAATAACCATCTTGAAAAATATGAAAGTCAATGGGAAGGATGACCTCCCATATATGAAATGGAAAATAATCCAAATGTTTGAAACCACCAACCAGTGCAGTTTGATGCGGAAAAAAAGACTGAGAAACCAGCAAGGACCATTGGATTTTTTTGGGAGATCCCATTTTTGGACAAGCCGATGATATCGATGATCGTTACTACAGGATCTGTCAGACCTGCAAGAACTGTCTCGTTTAAGGAGACGCCCAATGGCACTACCCTGAACCAATCATCAACCAACAATTCAAATTTATCAACTATCTCCCAGTTATATCTCCATCTTTTGATGGTTAAAATCCCAATCATGGTTAATCCCTACTTAAATGATGATTCAACCCCTCCGAAAAATCATGGTGAAACAGTTAAACCCCTATGGAAAATCCCTATGAATGATGATTCAACCCCTATGAAAAATCATGGTTAAACCCCTATGAAATCCCTATGAATGATATACCCTCCGGTGTTTGATCAGCTCCATGGCGTGCTGGAAACAACTCCACCACTTATATAGTTCGATGATTTCCTAGCGGCCCGCCATGTTTGATTCTCCCATGAGATTCCCATAAAAAAAATACTGGTTGATCATCCATAAGGTTAACCATTAGTAATGTAGATTAATAGGAAAACCATAGGAAAATGGTGATTTAATGGTGATTAATCCATGATTATACCCTCTGGTTATTTAACATTTCGCCATGGAAGCCATGACCCATAGAAATAGATGATTTTCCCAGCTAGAAACCTCCATTTATTTTAAGGATTTTCCATGGCTATGTTAAATAACCAGAGGGTAAATCCCATGATATTTCATTAGTATCCCATGATCTTTCCATTATCTTCCCTTTATCTTCCCATTTAAGTCCATTACAGCCCATTAAGACACAATTCTTCTCATGATATTTCTGTTTTTCTCTCATTACATTCCCATTCAATGCCCTTTCAATCCACCATTTTTCTCATGACACCAGGTTCCATCATGCTGCCGAGACCGCCTAGAGTTTGGTGCTCAACTTGATCACTTGCCAAACATGGATGTGTTCACAAGAAGTACGCTTCATCAGTAAATGACTTTATATACTAAAATAAATAGTCAAACATAATAAGATAAAATGGTATTATATAATATTGTGTATGTATATATGAATGATAACAACACTGAAATACGTATACTAAACTTAACAACGATAATAGCAATAGTCATAACAGTAATCACATGTATTTGCATATAGATGTACTGAATGTATAGAGCAGTAAAGAAGATAATTTTGATAGTCATACTGTAACCAATTTTGAAGCTTAGACATTTATCCGATAGTCATAACCACGTTTTAAGGGTCAGGGGTCATAGAATCCTCCAGCAAACCCCGCCCGGCAGGGCATATTCGACCAAGCTGCTGGTATATGATGTGCCTGGGCTCAAGCGGCTTTGACTTCTTCTGCCCATGCTTGCTCCTGTGGTCGCAAGGCCATTGGCAAAGTTCCGGGGATTTCGAGTTGATTGATGGTAACTGGTTGGTGGTTGAGCCCTACCCCGAAAAATATGAGTTAGTCACTTGGGATGATGAAATGACCCCAATATGATGGGAAAAATAATCCATTCATGTTCCAAACCACCAACCAGGTAAGGTTCGTTTATTTCATTGGCTTAGCTGTTTCTTGATTTGTGGTGAAAGAACTATAGTTGGTGGTTTTAACCATCTTGAAAAATATTCGTCAATGGGAAGTATTATCCCACATATGAAATGGAAAATAAAAAAATGTTCCAAACCATCAACCAGGAACTATAGTTGGATGGGTCATCAACAAACAGAACTAACAGAACACCACCGTATCCGGGGTATTCCTAGCTATGGGAGATTCGCCAGCTCCGGATGCAGTGGAGGGCGCCTGGACCCGAACACATGCCAGAGAGAATGCCAGAATCTATGCCAGAAAGTATGTCAGAATAGATGCCAGATACACAACGCCAGAAAGAATGTCAGATAGAATGTCAGAATATATATATATATATATATCGCAGCGTAAAGCATCAATGGACCGTGGGAAAAAAAAAAAACGCCATATATGCTTCCAAATCGTATGTCAGAAACTATGTCAAAATAGTGTGTCAGGGTGGGGATCACTCAAAGTAAAGTAATTTCAAAGGGGGAGCCACGGGAGCCATCGTACCGAAATTCTGTGGCGACATGGTCGGCCTTTGCAAATTCTCATCATTTGTGTTACTATGGGGGTTTCCATAGTCCTATATATGGTTTAACATGGTTTAAATATGGTTTAATCCCATTGATTATCATACTTAGCTACTTAGCTGGTTGGTGGTTTCAACCCCTCTGAAAAATGATGGAGTTCGTCAATGGGAAGGATGACATGCCATATATGAAATATGGAAAATAATCCATTCATGTTCACCACCAACCAGGATGTCTAGTCACCTCATAGATTCCTCGCTTACGTTAGGTCCAATCACAGCACCTGGCTTTTGGCGACCCATAGGATTCCCGCTGCCAGAATCCCGAGAGGTGGTTCCCCCTCGTAAGTTGTCATATGGCCATGTCTCAAGTCGATCAAGTCACCAAATTACCATAGGACTGGGGGAATCACCAGCCATTTAACATCATTTCACCAGCGTTTGGCTACCGTTTGGGTCGGCTTTTGACTACCCATATTTCACGAAGCTTTTACCCAGAAGGAGCTCGATATATCTACCATAAACCATATCTGGTTGGTGGTTGAGCCCTACCATTGGTTGGTAATATACTATTAATATTAATTGTTAATATTAATGGTTAATCTATGGTTGATATATGGTTAACATATCTGGTTGGTGGTTGAGCCAAAAACCCCTCTGAAAAATGATGGAGTGAAAGTCAGTTGGGATGATGACATGACCCCAATATGATGGGAAAAGTAATCCATTCATGTTCCAAACCACCAACCAGATATAGTTCAGCTCGAGTTTTTTAAAGCAACAACTTCGAAAATTCGAAACTGTGGGCACAACCTTTCAACTTCCGTTTAACTGTTGATATATGGAGGTTTCCTACAATAGAGCTACCCCCAGTTCTCATCCATTTCATATTGGGATTTTCCATGAAATAAGCCATCCAGCTATTGGGATACCTCCATTTCAGGAAGTCCCTATATATCCATATACATATCCATATCATATACATATACATATACATATACATATACATATATATATATACATATATATATATACATAATATATATATATATCCATTTGACTGGGATTTTCCATGAAACAAAGCATCCAGCTATGATACCTCCATTTATGGAAACCCCCATATATCCCATGAGTCACATCTCGCCTCGAAGGGCCGCCAAGCCTGCAGCCTCCTGGCTGGAAGTGGGTGAAGATCTCAACCACTTGTTTTCTGTCTAAAAAAAAAGGTTTTTACATCTCAAAAACCACTAGTGGTATCTAGTGGTCATGCTTTTATAAGTCTGGAAAAAAACCACTCGTAAATCTTATGTTTTTTTGACGTCTTAAAAACCATCTTTAAAACCACGGGTGGTGGACGTTTTGATGTCTATCAAATCCATCGATAATCAGCTCCCAGGTGTTCCCCTTCGTTGCCAACTTGCTGGAGGATTTGGGCTGGGCCCCGGCCATTTCAGAAACCGGCAGAACGTGATGGTCAAACTTCCCAACCAAAATCTGAGATGTGCCGAAAAAACCGAAAAAAAAAAAACGGTAAAATCAAAAGGTAAATTAACTTGTTGACCTTGGGAATCACCCATTTTTAATGGTTTCACTCATCTTCCAAGCCCGATTTTTCCTGCCAGGGTCTAGTTGGGAACATCCACGGGAAATCCACCAAAAAATGTCTACTGGGGCCTGGGAGCTTGAGCACAAATGAGGAATGATGATACCCATAGGATCCATGGTGCTTACCCTCTGGTAAACTAACATAGCTATTGAAAATGACAATTTATAGTGGATTTTCCCATTAAAAATGGTGATTTTCCATAGTTACTAGATGTTACTGGTTCTATATATCTGGGTAAATTATAATATTTCACTAACCTGAATTAATTAAGGCCATTTGGGGATGATGTTCCTTACTAACCATGATTCCAGTGAGGGAGAACAGTTAGGTCGTTATAATTTACCCAGATATATGCTAACATAAAGGGGGTATATTGATGGGATCCATGGCACACCATATATACCAGCACCATGGATCCGTCATGGGATATTAGAGCCCAATTGTAATTTCATGATATTTCATGTTTCCCATGAAATCATCAGGAATATGAAGATCATGATCTAATCATGATTTATATGATGATTTTTATGATGATCCGAATTCTGATGAGATTATTTGCAGCCATTTAGCCGGGAACATTACTTCGATGGGCCATAGATGCCATAGGCCCCCCAAATCCGTTAGCCATCATGAATTCCCGCTTCAAAGAGCCATTTGCCGAGAAAAAAATAACATGTCCAGACAAATGGCCAGGCCTGGCTGTTTCCTAAAATGGAGATACCCCAAAATATCCCAATAGCTGGATGGCTTATCATGGAAAATCCTACTAAAATATTGGATGATTTAAGGCTACCCATTTCCAGACAAACCTCCATATCAACATACACAGCTGATTCCCCATGGAACGTTTGCCATGGCCGCTCCTCATGATCCACCTGTGCCAGGCGAAACTCGTGGGGATTTTTTTATGAGGAATAGGTCAAAATTGAAGACCTGGTGGACCACAGATTGACAGTCGATTTTTTGTATTAACCATCTAAAAAAGGGGGTACCCAGTTTTGATATATCAACAGTATGAAGTTGGGGTGATGGGGATATACAGATATAACCTCTGGCGATGACTAACAGTTTGTGAGCTGGAAAATGTCCAGGTTTAACAAGTAAATCATGGAGCTAAATGGGCCAAGTTTCTAGCCAGAGGGCTGACCATTTATAGATGATTTACCCGGCCTGGTAAACTAACAGTTTGCTATTGAAAATTGTCATTTAGTGGAATTTCCCATGAAACATAGTGTTTTTTCCATTGTTACGTTAGTTTACCGCATGGTACGGCATCTGGGTATGGGTGAAACAAGTTAGACCCAGCAAGCACTACACCTGATATTCTCTATATTTACCCTCCGGTGTCATCAGCTCCATGGCGTGCTGGAAAATGCGCCATAAAAATATTCGGGGATTCTCCAGCCAGCCAACTTGAACAAGTTACCACCTTACCAAAGCAGGATTTCTTTGGGGTGTTGAGTAGGGGGAAGCGACTATTGTTGGTTTATATTCCAACAAAAAAAACTGATTGTCATTTGTGCTCTAAGTATTTGGCCACCCATTCTGGTTGCTGTGACCCCGTTGCCCTGTATTGTTCATGATTGCATGGCCCCAAAAAATAGATCACTAGTTTAATGGGATTTTACATGATTTTACTTTATTATATACTGAATACTGGTTAGTTGAGAGCAGGGTTCGCGGTCGGATTCCCCATCAATTACAAATTCTATAACCCCAGCATACCCCAGTCCGAATCGACAAACCATAATTTGGGGATATCTGGGGAGATCCTTACCTGTACCAACTGCTAGTGTCAATGGTGTCAATGGAAAAACCAATGGAAAAACCATTCATGTCCAGTCCCGTGACGGATCCATGGTGCTGGTATATATGGTGTGCCATGGATCCCATCAATATACCCCAAATGTTAGCATATATACCAGCACCATGGATCCTATGGGATTCATTTCCAGTTGATTTTCCCGTTCAAACCCTTCATTTCCAGTCATTGGAGCCCCATCTGACACCAAATGCTGCAAGTTTGCTAAGTCAAAAAAACTTCCCGGAGGTGAACATGTCATGTTTTAGCCATCGAATTGTTAAGGTGGATATATGGCAGTGTGTCAAAACCTTGTACCCCTGGTGAACATCAAAATAGCTGGTAAATGGATGTTCATCCCCTAAAAATGGTATGTATAGGTATTGTTCCATAGCCATATCAGTTTATGAGGCTTAGCCAAGAAACATAACTGGATACTGGCAAGGCTGCAAAGTGGGTGAACGACTCAAATTGGCCACTTAACTCAGATGTCATGTTTTTTCCCGAATTTGACATACCCTTGGGTAATCAAACATGCAATGGAAAATCCCTATAAATGGGGGAAAAGTTGTCTTTGCCATGCTTGATTCCCGGAGGGTCCAGTGACCTACGGTTCACCGACCGCTGGACATATGAAAAAAAAGTCCTGACAAGGTGGTATCTAGACCATAAATCCACTTGTTAACCTAGTTAATAAACAGACTTAGCTAACATGATAGAATATGATATGGAAAGTTACCCAGTTATATATGATTATCCCATATGAGCACAAATTGAAAGTTGGATTTTTTCAGCTCGTTACTTGGTGAAATCACCTTTTCTATACCACTGAGTCCTAGTCAACCTAATTACTGCAACCTGCCAACCAATTTGGCTACGGGGCACCACTTTCTATCACCCCTATCGGCCCTGTCCACCCCTCTGGCGCCTCAATGCTGTCCACGGTCTTGTCGAAAGTCTCAGCAGAGCACCAAAAATAGGGTACCCTCAAAAAAAAAAACTTGGGGGAAGGCCCACTTTGTCCAAATCATTTCGCTGCTTTTGATAGTTAAACAATGTTAACGACTTTATACCCTGACGGGCGCAACTTCTGACGGGCACAACTTCTAACTGACGGGCATGACAAAATCATGGACCGTTGCCAAGTACCGAGAGTACATGACACCAAAACAACAGTTCATCATCATCATCTTCCCAGCAATAAATTGACAGTAAAATTTGGAGCCATCAATAGCCCCAAGATCAACTCCGAAATCCAAGAAATCCATGGTCAGGAGCCACCACAAGCATCAAAATCCACCAAACAATTCCAATATCTATGCCCAAATCCATCCAATTTCAGCATGTTTTTCCAATATGATTCAATATGATCCAACATTTCTCCCCTTAATCTGGGTAAATCATAATATTTCACTCTATAACCTGATGTTTTTTTGCCATTTGAGGATGGGTCAATACCTATAGATACATTTTCAGTGGGATGAACATCCATTTACCAGCTATTTTGATGTTCACCAGGGGTACAAGGTTTTGACCCACTGCCATTTGAGGATGATTTCCCTTATAAAAACCAAGGTTAACCAGGGCTGGGTCGAACAGGCTTCGGTCTTTCCAAGGTGCCACCGTCGGGGTCCGCGGCAGGCGCCGGGCCGTAGGCGTCTTCGCTTCTTTGGAGTGCTCTGGCGTGGCCTGGAAGGCTAAAAACCTTTGAAACCCATGGATTTCTTGGGTGATTTTCATAGGTTGAAACCAACAGTTGGGATGGTTTTTGTTGGATGTTCATAGGTTTTCATAGGTTGAAAACACCAGTTGGGATGGTTTTCATAGGTTGAAACCAGACAGTTTGGTGATTTTCATAGGTTGAAAGTTGGGAGAATGTTTGATTGAACTGTGGATTGGCTATGAACAACGGACCAATAAAAAGGTCATAACATAGTTAGAACTATGGTTGATTGCGATGGATTTGTTTGCCTTTAGTAACTGTTGATTGGTAAATGAACTGTTATGATGGATGGGTAAATGAGGCTGATGGGTGAAAACTATGATAAGATTGGTTGACTGTAGTAAATGAGTGTTCATCATGATTGTTCAATTAGTAGCAACTATAGTTGGTGGGTGAAAACAAACAGCGTTTCATGGTCAATCTTTGATAGTCCACCAAAAAAACCTTGTTTGCTGGTTATGGTTATTTTCTGTTTATAGCAAACAACTAAAGGATTAAAGTACCCATCCAAGGTTGGGCATGTGTTTACTTGCAATTTGCTACGGATAACATTGGTTCTTGATTGTGAAACCATATGACTGGTCCAGTTAATTGCCCATTCATAGTGAAAAGTTCACATGTTTCATTTTTCCAGTCACTAGTTCTGGATATTGGCTATGGGTCAAAACCCTGGTACCTAGTGAAGCCCCAAAAAAAATAGCTGGATTAGTTGGATGATAATCCCACGCAAATTGATAATCTGGTTGGTGGTTTCAACCCCTCTGAAAAATATGAGTTCGTCAATGGGAAGGATTATCCCACATATTATGGAAAATAAAAAATGTTCCAAACCACCACTTTATCCCACTTTATCAGACGCACTGCCAGAGTCGGGCGCTGACAGTCCGCGTTTCAGAATGTCAGGCCGTGGTGAACCAAACTGGATCAAATCGCTCGTCTTTGGTCGCGATCGGAAGCCCTTCCAATGCTTTAGAACTTCTCTGAACTCCAGCAGGGATCATACGCAAGATCCATTCATCCACAGCCTCAAGGCGATCCAAACTCCAAGGTAATGCCAGACAGCCGGTGTGCAAAAACAGCGCTCGCGAACTCGGGCGGCAATATGCATACGTAAGTCCAGCCCCTGCATGTCTCATGCACTCTTTAAGGACCTTATTGAACCACCTAGACCTAGTTTGGAACGGCACCGCAAGCAAGTCAATATGAGGTGCTTTTCGTCCAACCTGCCAGGATTCAAATTTTGTTGGGCCACGTTCACCAGAAAGCATGAAGTCAATGTAGAGTTGAAATTGCGAAACCCATAGCGTCGGACTGGAAGACTGAAAAGTGGCCATCCAGAACCATGACATGATTTGACGAACCAACTCATCCCCGTACCATCTCACTGCGGCCTGTGGTATGACAAGGGAGGGCAAGGGCCTCCAGGCATCATGCGGCACCTCAGGTGTAGTGGCAAGGTCTGAGCGAAACTCCTCAGCACCACAGTCCTCATCACGAATGACAGCCTTACTGATATCCAAAAGAGTCTGCTGAACAGTTCTGGAAATGTGATGGCAGGCAAGTGTGGAATTCACATGTCGGTCAAAAAGAGCCCAAAAAGCTGCGGGTCTGTCAAGTTGTGCTCTGGCTGCTGCTTGATCTGCAAAAGTATTATGTGCAAAACTCCATTCTTCAAGCGGTGTTCTAGCACTGTTTTGAGTTCGATGGGCAGCAACCTTAGTGATCGACACATGGCCAGACGGAAAGTCTTTCAAACACTCAAACATCTGGCACCACAAATCAGCATGTGCACTGTTTGGCTTGGGTTCCGCTCCAGCCAGCAACCTGTTCATTCGTTTCACAACAGCACTGCAGTCAGACCAAATGGAGACTGGCCGATGTTGCATTCTTAGAACCAACAAGGCACGAAGCACCGCAAAAATTTCCGCCCTGTAGGAGCTCTGCAAGATTCCAGGAAGAGGCCCTGAGTCAATAACTTGATTAACCATCGGCGGGTCCACATGTGCAAGTGTGACCGCCCAGGCCGCAAGTCTGCAGGTAGGAAGGGCTGGATTCAAACAAGTTCCATCTGTGAAAACATGCACGGGGTCATTACACGGGACCAAAGGGCTGGGCTGTGGTGACTGAATTGCATCCAGAGCTTGGTACCATGCCAACATCGTATGGGGTCGAATGCTCCAACCGTAACATGTTAGAAAGTCAGGCAACTCAGGGATCAAGGAAATCACATCAGCTGGGAGCTTCTCTCGCTCATGGGCAAACCTGGGGCAGATCCAAAATCTGTGAAATCTGGAATCACTGCACTCACAATACGGACAAAGATCAGAACCCTCCTCTTGGCAGTAGACTTTACCATCTTGGGTTATGTGACTACCATTAAGGCATCGATGGAACAGCTCTTTGTCAGGCAATTGAAGGCTCTTCAGGAAGCCCCGCGTGTCCCCAGCATCAGCAAACTGGAGGTTCAAAAACCCTGGTCTATGACTAACCTGCTGAGAAACAACAAACTGCCACGCCCACTGGGCACGCAGGGTTATTTCAGCCATGCTCGTTTCAAACAAGCAAAATGACCCAAGCTGATCTCAAATGACACCCTTCTCTTGAACATGCCAACTCAAAGCTTGCATTCTTGTCAGAAGAGTTGCTGAGATGCAGTTGTTCGGCAAGTTCCCATCAGAGTCAGTCAACGCAATCAAGGCTCGACAGATCTGGGCAGGGTCGCCGCAATCTCTGGCACATCTAATGGTTTGAATAGTGGCCCAGAAGCACGGATCCGTCAGGGGATGTTCCACCATACCTAGGTGCACCCACGCATTGCACCCAGCTCCATCGGCTGACAGCCCTTTCATCGCCCCTGTGCGCAATCCATGAAAAGCAGCATCACTAATGGTAACTGCAGCAATGGCGTGTAAAGCACGGGGCCATGCAGCAACCAGCAGTGCACGAACCTTCGTCTCATACTTGCAAGCAGAAAGTCGGAGCCTAGGCCAAATGTCAGTCATTCCATTGATTCGTTCCATCAAGGATGCATTGGTATGTTTCCTAGAGACCTGTACATGTGCTCCAAGGTTTTTGGCTGCCAAAACAACGGTAAAACCCTGACCACGCAGTCTTGTTCTCCCTTCAGCGGTGACAGACCAGGCATAGGTTTTCTTCTGATCAACCTGCAAGTCAACAGCTTGGACAAATTTGTCAAGGCAAAATTTTGCACCTTCCAGCATCGAGCTATGAGGACACAACAGCTGCCAATCATCAACGTACGAAAGGGCGGTGCACATGGGGAAAAACACTTGTTGCCACTTGTGAAAGGCAAAGTCAACCAGGAGCATGGCTACGCAACTAAGTCCACATCCCTCCGGGAAGCCTGTGACACTGGGAACACCTGCAGTCAAGGAACCCCGGAGCAAAAATCTCCTTTTCATATGAGTAAGTGCACCAGCCCACGCCACGAGCATAGGTCCAGGCAAACCCAAATGACCGGCAATTTCAAAGACCGCAACACGTGGAATCATGTTGAACGCTTTCTGCAAATCTGCAACAAGACCCGTCATGTCAACTTCATGTTGGAAGGCATGCTCAACCGTCCATAGCAACTTTGACCAGACCTGAGCTGCATATCGACCTGGCCGACATCCATACAGGGTTTCAGGCAAGAGGCCATCAAGCTGCTTCAAGACATGTTTCGAATGGAAGGAACTCCAAACCCTGTACAAAATGCTGAAAACTGTTATGGGCCGAAAATCCGCTGGGGAACCAGGCATTGGCACCTTGGCAAGACTAACAACCTTACCATCAATCAACTGACTTGGCCAAGAACCACAGGATTCACTTTGCTGGAACATTCGGCAGAAGGCAGTAAGCACTGTGTTGGGCATACATTTCAAGTCATGGAGTTTAACACCATCAAACCCATGTGAAGTGTTCTTTTTCTTGGTCTTCAAAATTGTGCGTATGTCAGCCGGCTGCATAGGTTCCCAGTGAAACTGCATACTGGGGAGATGCGTTTTGGCAAAATTGACAATGGCTTCACATCGAGAGCTGGGCACTTCTGCATGACGCATCCATCTTGCTTTCCATACTGCAACAAATTCCCTTTCCAAGTCTTCATGGCTGCCAACAAATTTGGTTTGACAAATACGGGAGCCTATCTGAACCTGGGCAGGGTCCTCAACCCAGAGTGCATCCGCTTCATGATGAATAACAGCCAACGGAGAACCATCACAGGAAATGCATTGCTCAGGAAGGAAATCACAAGGCTTGTCAAGACCAATCTCACCAGTGCTAGGATCAATTTGCTCAACCACAGCCTGAATAGGTTGCATCAACACATCAACCCCGGGCACTGCAGGAGGTCTAATGTCCGCAAACACCAGATTGGGGTTTTGATCTCGGCAAAATTTCGCATATTGCTTGGATGTGCGCCTGAGCTCAGTTTCAAGGTCCCTAACCGCAAGGCTAAGTGAGTCAAACATTTCCTGGGCTACAGCAGCAGCGGGTGGAAATTGGGGACATGCAATGGGCGCTGACCCGGTCTTAAACTCACAGTTTTGCCACCAGGTGGAAAAGCACGGATAAAAACCAGAGGCCCGGACAATGGCACCCCATGCCTCAGCTTTCTGAACTCCTAGGCGAACAGCAGGATTGGTGGCCATTCTGGCAAAAGCTTGCAGTCTTCGGGTCTGACGGATCCACTGCGCATATTTCAGCGAGGTTCCAAAAAAGGCTGGCTGGAAATCACCTTTACGACCTATCTTCACCGGGGCAACGAGATTGGCACGGATCTTTTTGGGTTTTTCCCTCATGCCTCTGCCTTTCATGAACTTGGAGACAGGGTAAGGACATACCTCTGCAGCATCATGTTCAATCTGTCGCCACAAATCAGCATAGGCTTGGTTCATCTCAGGATTCCCCTCTGGCCAGGCAGCACAAGTGTCAAATTCCTTTGGCCAAGGGAAGGGCTCTGGTG